TCGTCATTATTATCGGCACGCTCGCATTGCCGAGGGAGAAGTTCACTGACTCCACCTTCGAGTCCGGTCGAGGCCCCCACCCCCACCGTCCCATCATCGCCGAGCGCATCCCACGGATTGTCACGGGGGGGGGGGGCGAGCGGCTCCTCGGGGGCCGGAGGTGGCGTACCTTGAGGCCCTTGGCGCGGTTGATGGCGCGGAGTGGACGCAGCACGCGCAGCACGCGCAGGACCTTCACCACGGAGATGGTGCTCGACCTGCCGGGGGACAGCGGGGGGGGGGGGCACGCGACACACGTGGGGTGTCCGCCGCAACAGTACGGTGCGTAAGGCAGTGTGTACTGCAGTGTGTATTGCAAGGTGCATACTGCAGTGTGTGTACTAGAGTGTGTACTGCAAGGTGCGTACCGCAGTGTGTACTGCAGTGTGTACTGCAGTGTGTGTACCGCAGTGTGTACTGCAGTGTGTGTACCGCAGTGTGTACTGCGGTGTGTATTGCAAGGTGCATACTGCAGTGTGTGTACCGCAGTGTGTACTGCAAGGTGCGTACCGCAGTGTGTACTGCAGTGTGTGTACCGCAGTGTGTACTGCAGTGTGTGTACCGCAGTGTGTACTGCGGTGTGTACTGCAAGGTGCATACTGCAGTGTGTACTGCGGTGTGTGTACTGCGGTGTGTGTACTGCAGTGTGTACTGCAGTGTGTACTGCAGTGTGTGTACCGCAGTGTGTACTGAGGTGTGTACTGCAAGGTGAATACTGCAGTGTGTGTACGGCAGTGTGTACTGCAAGGTGCATATTGCAGTGTGTGTACGGCAGTGTGTACTGCGGTGTGTGTACCGCAGTGTGTACTGAGGTGTGTACTGCAAGGTGAATACTGCAGTGTGTGTACGGCAGTGTGTACTGCAAGGTGCATACTGCAGTGTGCACTGCAGTGTGTACTGCGGTGTGTGTACGGCAGTGTGTACTGCAAGGCGTGTACTGCAAGGTGTGTACTGCAAGTTGCGTGCCGCTGTGCGTACTGCACGCTGCGTGTGTACCGCACGCTGCCTGTGTACCGCACGGCGCGTGCTGCTCTGCGTACTGCATGCCGAAGGACAGGAGGGAGACCCCCACCACCAGCAAGTCCAGCAAGTTGAAGCAGCTCCGACAGAAGGAGCCCTTGTGCAGAAACGCTCCGTACGCTGTGAGCTGCACGCACGGACACAAATGTCATGACAGTGGAGTCAACATGCGGTGTGAGTGGACTAGTGGCCACGGGAGGTAATGACAGGAGAGTCAGCCTGCAGTGCGAATGCACTAGTGGCCACGGGAGGTAATGACAGGGGAGTCAGCCTGCAGTGCGAATGCACTAGTGGCCACGGAAGGTAATGACAGGGGAGTCAGCCTGCAGTGCGAATGCACTAGTGGCCACGGGAGGTAATGACAGGGGAGTCAGCCTGCAGTGCGAATGCACTAGTGGCTTCGGGAATGATCGAGAAGGGAGCACGGCCAGGTGACGGTAGAGTCTGCCGGTGGAGCGAGCGTCCAGAGTCAGCGAAAAGGTTCGGGAATGGGGCTGTGGCTTCGGTTGGTATAGACAAGGGAGATGTGCAGGAGACTCGGGGCTGTTGCAGTGGGGGTCTCCGCCTGATGTCAAGTGAACGTGCCTTCAATAGAGTGCCATCTCAAGAGAAGTGTGTAAAGTCGCCATTATCATGGGACCTCCTTTGCCAGTACCAAAATTTGATAATAGGTGTTTCCCCTTTTTTCCTGGCAACAAAACAGGTGTTAAGATGTTAAAACACCAACATGAAACCTTTTACAAAAAGCGTTTTGGCGTCCTCTGGTCTAACACCATTTGAGACGAGGCTCAAAAGAAAGCTGTCTCTGGTGTGGACCAACCAGCTTCAAGGACAATGCTTATGTTATCAGAGTATGTTGTTCTGTTTGCATTCTGACCACAAGCATTGTGGTTAATGCAGACATGATTCCTTGTAAAAGGTTTCAGTTTGGTGTTTTAACATCTTAACACCTGTTTTGTTGTCAGAAAGAAAAAGGGGAAAAACCTATTATCAAGTAGTCATTTCATAAAGATCTCCCGGGGAAGCCTTCACCGCACTGTTTGGGGGCAAGTGCTGTCAGCGAGCACCTGTTCGTGGCCGGCACGCTGGAGGAGGGGATGGTGTGGCCGGCCCCATGGCTGTATATAAAGTTCCGTCTCCAACCCTTTATCCACTCTACCTCTCCGCTGGCCTCCCTGTGTGCTGTGAAGGACCCAGTGCCTGAAACGTCGGCCATTGTATATGTACTTTTCTTGATGAAAAAAGAGAATAGGCGTTTACCCTTTCTGGCAAGAATACAGGAGGCGTTACGATGTTCAAACACCAAATAAAACACTGACTGCAAAGCATAAAATTTGCATTAACCTCACATAATACAAAGATCCCCCGTATAGCCTGAACAGACTGTTGGAGCAAGTGCTGTTAGTGAGCACTTATGAAGGCCGGAACGGCATACGACGGGGTGGGTAGCCAGCACCACGCCCGGCCGCCTTTGTCTCACCAGTGCTGATATTTACACGCAGCACCGGGTACTCATTTGAGGCTGAGTCGACCTAGGGGAGGCCCAGGACCGGTTCAAACATTTGCCACCGGTGCTGATCGTAAGCGGGAATCAAACTCGGGTCGCCAGGTTCGTAGCGCAGTGCGCTAACCGCTACACTACTACTCCCCGCGCACACGTAATGGCGTGATTAGGCAAAGAGGAGCCAGCAATATGCAATAACAGCCCGGGTGCGACCGTGCGAGACAAATCAGATGTTGGGGGGCCCCCCACGCTGACCGATCGCCGCACCCCCTGAGCTGATGATATCATCACCACGCCATTGACATCAGGTCACTACACACCACGCGCGCCTGACGATTGCTCGAGACGCCCTCGGCGAGACGCGTCTCATCGTGACGGTCCGTGAAGGCGAGGGACGCGGGACGTGCGGCGGTCACCTTCATGAGGATCTCCAGCGTGAAGATGCCGGTGAAGAGGTAATCGGCGTATCCCAGGATCTGAAAACGAAAATGAAGGCGCGGCGTGAGACGCAAGGCACGGCGCGCCGAGACCCGAACCTCGCCGTCCGCTGGGTCACCTGCACTCGCCGCGGCTCGGGGGCCAAGCAGGGCCACGGTCGGGGATAGTGAGGCCTTCCTTGTACGCACGTATGTTGAACTTCTTTCGTACGTAGTCAACCGTAGCTAATCGGAGGGCGGGTGAGTGTGTGGATGAGTGACTGTGTGAGCGGTTGAGTCACTGTGCGAGTCTATGTACGTGTGTGTGTGTTGAACTTCTTTCGCAACGTACGTAGCCAACCGCGCTAATCAGAGGTGCGGGGGAAGGACAACAAACTAAACACAAAAAGCAGTTTTAAAGAAATTAGTTTTCAATCTAGACGATGATGATTTCAAAGTGCGTAGCTCCCAGTGGCTCCCTAATATCGGAAGGGAGAGCATTCCAGACGGCCACAGAAGCGCATCTGAAAGCGCGTGATGCGGTAACCGTCTTTGTTCGACGGTTCGTCAAAAGCGGCTGCGAAGATGACCGGAGTTCGTGTGATGGTTTATAGGCCCTTTGACGAGATCAGCAAAGGTATTGTGGTTCATTTGTGGCAAGCACTTCGTGTGTGTAAGCGAGTGCGGCCGTTTAACGAATTCGTTCGGCAACCGGAAGCCAATGCAGCTCGGTACCCCGTCACGCCACGCGCCGCGAGTGAACGTGCAGCGTCAACGCGCAATCTGCAAGCCACTCGACTCGAAACGTCGTACTCGCATTGTAAACGTCGTGGGTTTGCGCTCCAACACACAGCCAGTGTGCTCAACTAGTAACTAATCGTCACGTTTCTTTTGTCACGTGACGAACCTCACCCAATTGGCTGCGTCGGGTGGCGGCGGCGGCGGCGGTGGCGGTGGGAGAACGACGCGGTTAGGGTGAGGGCATCTAACCCCAAACCCCTCCCCCCCCCCCCCATTATCGCGAATAATATTGGCCGTGAAAGCGTAACGAATACGTCCGCTGGTGGCACGTGTCAAACTGGAGGCGTGTGTGAACCTGGTTGCGCAGCGAGTGTGGCTGGATGGGATCCTCGGCACCCAGCGCGAGGCTGCTCAGGATGATGACGGCCAGGATGAAGTTGGCGAAGGTCAAGCGGTTCACGACCCGAAAACAGAACACGCGGACGCTGGGGAGACAGAAAGAAGGGGCGGTGGAGGGGGTGGGGGGGGAGGTGGAGGGGTGGGGGCGGGGTGAGGTGGGTTGTCCGCCGCGTTCTCTTTGAGGCCGTGCGCTCAAAATCTTGACCGGAAAAGCCCCCCCCCCACCCCCCTTGTCAGACTGCAAAAAGTGGACGAGCTTGCAAACGAGAGCGTGACTTCTCCAAGAGGGGGGGGAGGTAGGCTGACGAAGGGGGGTGGCGAAGGGGGGGGATGGCGAGGGGGGGTGGCGGGGGGGGCGAGGTTGGGGGGGCGAGGGGGAGGGGTGGCGAGGGGGGGTGGCAAGGGGGGGGGGGTAGCGAGGGGTGGGTGGTGAGGGGGGGGGGGCGGCGATCCTCCATCAGGGTGGGGGGGAGGGTCGATAAAATCAGTACCACTTTTGTGGGGGGTGTTGGAGGGGGGGGGGGGCACATATCAGCAGTGATCGTCCCTCGGGCAAACTCGTCCCCCGCCACGTGAACGAGGAAACTTGCACCGATTTGCCTCTGGGCTGCGAATGGGAGGCGAGGCCCCCGAATCGGCGCTCATTTGGGCAGGTCGAGGGACGCGGCGGTGCGTCGACGCCCGGCTCCGACGGGAAGGGCTCACGGGTTGGCGCTGCCGAAGACGAAGAAGGAGGAGCTGCGCGGCACGCTCTGCCGCCTCTCGGGCAGGCGGAGTTCGGACAGACGGCGGGGTCGCGGTCGCGAAGACGACCCCTCTTCCCCCGCCACGCCGTCGCCGCCGCCGTCGCCGCCGCCGCCGCCGTCGCTGTCGCCCGTCCCGTTGCCTGCCGAGGGATCCACAGCTTGAGATTGTCCTGGGGGCTGCGCCGTTAACAATCCGCTGAGGGTTTACGCGGCGGAGGGTTAACGTGACCGCATCTCCAGGCGGTGGCTAGGAGATGTTAACGACCTCGCCTGGTACGCAGGAGGTCGTGGGTTCGATCCCGACCGTGACGCCTGCTGCTGTATATTTGGAGTTTGCGTGTCTCTCTCCCCGTCGTAGCCGCAACGATTTTTCTCCGGGTCCTCCGGTTTTTCCCTCCACGTTTAGAATCGACGTCACGCGTTTAGAGTATTTGGCCGCTAGAATTTTCGACAAGATGATGAGAAGCCGCTTTGTTGAGCTATCATTTGTTGGCTAGCTCGCTTCTGACAAAGAGCAACACAGCTCAGTGGGCCTGACCTGGTGAAATAAAAAAAAAATGTTTTTAAATCGTTTAACAGCGGCAGACGCCGCATCGTCACCTGGCCGATCGATCCTCTCTCGGAAAGAGGTGGGGGGGGGGGGCGGGGGAGGGGTCCCATGATTTATAACCAACCTGGGGGGCGCGTATCAGGATGTGAGGATCCCCGCTCGTGTCCTCTGGGATCCACTCTCGCTCCAGCAGCCTGAAGCGGCAGGGTGAAACGCCACCCCCAAGCAAGGGTCCGTTACCACAAATGCCAATTTTTTTTCATTTTTTTGCACGAAACATCGACATGGGATCGCACGAGAGAGCGGCCGGCGCACTTCAAAGGTGATAGACAAATCCTTGCCACCCTTTCCCCCCCACCAGCACATCCGAGTCGAGCTCGTTGCTGGGACCCTCACGCACTCATGGAGTCCCACCGGTAAACCCGAGCCAAGTCCATTGATGGGACCCTTACGCACTTATGGAGTGCCACCGGTTCATCTGAGCCAAGTCCATTGCTGGGACCCCCACGGACTCATGGAGTCCCACCGGCACATCGGGCAAAATCACGTGATAAAGCTGGTTGTACTCACCAGCGAAACGTCACAAAACTCAAAATGTAAATGTCGTAGAGGGTTTACTCTCCAACACACAAACAGTTAGTGCTGAAGTAGTAAATAATTGACACGTTTTGGTCAAGTGACAAACCATTGCTGATTGGCTGTGTCGGGCGGTGGTGGGTTAACGACACACATTTATAATTATAACTATAATTACACAATCTAAACAAGACAAAAAACACCTGTATTGCGGATAATAGAGGTCGTGAAAGCCCCACTACTACTAAGCGTTAAACTGGTATCCCAGTGGTTGTTTGCCTTGCCGAGCCAGAACCAAACCGTGCCACGCTTGCTGGCCTCTATAAAAAAAAGACTTGTATTTGTTGACCAGGTAAGGCCCCACTGAGCTACGTAGCTCTTTTTCAGAAGGCGACCTGGCTGTCACAAATCATAGCTCAAAGAAGTGGTTCATCATCCCGTGGAAATTTATAGCCGCCAAATATTCCACATGCATGCTTATTCTAAATGTGGAGGGAAAAACGGAGGACCCAGGGAAAATTTCACTCAACCACGGGGAAAGAGAGAGACACGCAAACTCCATATATATACAGCAGGCGTCAGGGTCGGGATCGATCCCACGACCTCCTGTATACCAGGTGATGTAGTTAACATCTCCTAGCCATCGTGATGAGAGAGAGAGACACGCAAACTCCAAATATACAGCAAGCGTCAGGGTCGGGATCAAACCCACGACCTCCTGCACACCAGGCGAGGTAGTTCACATCTCCCCATTGCAAGTGGACGTCTGAATCTGGCTTGGGGCTCAAGCAGGGCCAGGGATAACAACACGTTCATTATGCGCGAGGTCAGCCAAGTCACTGCGAGGATGCGACATCACCACGTCATCTACACTCGGACTCGACCCATTAATCATCGCGTCCTATGTCAGCAGCCCAGCTTGGGTTCTTCCAGTGGAAAAAAACAACAACCTGGTGCCTCCTGACCCATGCCGGGCTGGCTCGACGTGGCCCCGGCACGGCTCGGTTGTGCAATGGAAGATAAGTATTGGGAGCCTCCCGGTGCCCATAAGCACCCCAGCCCAGGTCCACTCTAACCCCCCCATCCTAACCTTGCTGACCTTAGCTGCAGCATCCAGCGCACCGCCCTGTGTCTCCGCCTCCGCCGTGTCCGCGAGCTCATTCTTCGGCTTCTCCGCGTTCGCCGCCCTGCTCGGCGTAAATGGTGGCGGCACAGCGTCACGTGACCACGTCGCTCTGCTTACCCAGTCGACGAGGCGAGTGCGCACGCATGGATTCGCCGCCGAAGACTGACTCATTCGTGAGGGACGCCACGAATTGCGCGCGTGCGGGCGGATGCAGCCATGGTTTGTCTTGGTCCGGTCGGCCTGTGTAGCTATCGCCAGGGTTTAGCGATTCGACGAGGCTCCAATTGGCTGATGTGGTTAGGGTTAGGGCACCTCTGATTGGCACGGTTGGCTACGGACGGTGCAAAAGACGTTCAACATACATACACAGGGCTATAGTGCAATTAGATTCTGCTTGGCTACTGTGGTATTTATCCCCGACTATCAGCGAGCAATACTCCCACAATGCCAAGCACATCCTGTTCAGTTTAATAACGTAGGCTTTCGCGACCGATATTATCCATGACACAGCCAATGAGTAAGGTTTGTTACGTAAACAAAACGTTGGAGAGTAAACCCAGTACTTGAATTTTCAATGTTGTGGGTTTACTCTCCAACACACCGGTGTGCTGTACTAATAACGAATTAGGCACGTTTTGTTTCCATGACAGACCTTACCAATTGGCTGTGTCGGGTGGTGGCGAGTTTAACGACACATTTATATTGACGCGATCTAACCCAAAAAAATCCTCTATTGTGGACATCCTGTTCACTTGAGCGATTGTGACACCGTGGCTGTGGGCGTGCAGGTGGTGCAACCGCACCGGACGTAAACCCCCGGGGTCAAGACGTCCTCAGGCACCGGACTGTGAAAAGGTGGTTGGGGGGGTGGGGGGGGGGGAAATTGAATGGGAGGGTGGGGGGCACGTTTCTTTCCCTGCACCGGATGCCCGTGCCGACCGCGCTGCTTCACCTCGCCGTCTTCTTCCTCTCCCGCTCCTCCTCGGCCTCCTTCTGAGCCGACGTGAGGCTCTCGGCGTCCGCCAGGTTGTCCACGGCGATGGCCAGGAACACGTTGAGCAGGATGTCTGCCGCGGAGCTGCTGCTCAGGACCCCGATCGCCGCGGGTTTCAAAACCGGCGGAGAGGGACGGGGGGGTGGAGGGGAGGTTTTCCGCCGACCGCCGGCCGACGAACGACAAAACGACGAAGACGGAAGCTGCCGCTCGGGTAGCGACCGCCCTGTTCCCGCATCGCGAGTCGGGCGCGGGGTACGGGCGATGATTTGAACCGGGACGAGTTCCCACTACTCGCGAATGCTTTGCGGGAGACACCGGGGATAGCCGAATGTCGTGGCCAAAGCGGGCTGGGTGATGTTCCCATCAGCCTATCCCAGGGGGTCGGAAACATTTCAAAGAAGAGCCGCCTTTTTGTGTTTTTGTCCAAAATAGTTTGAAGAACCGCATCACACGCAGAGCTCCTTGTACATAAACACAGATGGAAGAAACTGCGTCTAGTTAGTCCCCACTACCACCCCCCCCCCCCCCTTAGTTATTCTTTGACAATATAGTTTCACTGTTGTACATTTTGTCATCACCAAGGCATTCCATAGTGACCCATTTCCTGCCATTTCATCCATTTCATATACGATTTTTACGACAGATTACGTTAAACGTAAAAAAAAATAATTAACGGCTGCCAGCAGTTTGCCGAACGAAACCAATCAAGTGACGGAACAATCGAGAGGATTCATGGGGCCATGGCTAGGACCGACTCGCCCCCGCCCAACCCCAAACGCCATCTCCACCGCCAGCAGAGGATACAGTTCCCGCAGATGAAGAGGATGATGAAGAACACGCAGACGAGGATGCCGGGGAAGGAGGGGCCCCCGTAGGCGCGGATCCCGTTGTACATCACCGTGTTCCAGTCTTCCCCAGTGAGGATCTGCGCCGTCACAACGGGACGGCGCAGACACCGGAGGGAGTAGAGATGAGACGGCACAGAGGGTACAGGCGGTGCGGACGAGACGCGAGCGGCACAGGAGAGACGGAGTACGGACGAGACGAACGGTTACAGTTGGTAAAGATTGGACAGATAGTGCGGACGAACAAAAAGAGGGTACAGACAGTGCAGACGAAACAGACAGTGCAGACAAGAAAAAATAACTACATGCAAGATGGAATGAGTATACAGACGAGACACTGACAGTGCCCATGGGACAGACGGTAAGGTAGGCACAGGACACCATTACTTTGGCGCATGATCCACAGGAGATGTCGTGGCCCGAATTCTCACGATAGTGAACGTTTGAAATTCTTTTTTAAAAACAAAGCCATTCGTCGAGAATTCAACATCTCTCACCCCTGCCACCCACGCGCTTGATCGGCAACTCCCATCTTGCTGCTTGCACTCCGGGAACCTTAGCCACACAGTACTTCCGTCCGCCAATCAATCCAGGCGGAGGATGCCCAACCACCCGATCTACAGGGACTCTATTTACGGACATTCGAGTTACGAACTTTCAGAGATATGGACAAACCTGTCCATACGTCCAGTTGCCTGTTCAGATTGAGAGCTGTAAGTTCAACCGCCGTGCAAAAGATGGCGGTGGTGGCATCTACATCTGCAGAACAAGAACAACTAGTGGCATCTAAATCTGCAGAACGTGAAGAACCAGTGGCATCTACATGTGCAGAACGTGAAGAACCAGTGGCATCTACATGTGCAGAACGTGAAGAACCAGTGGCATCTACATGTGCAGAACGTGAAGAACCAGTGGCATCTACATGTGCAGAATGTGAAGAACCAGTGGCATCTACATGTGCAGAACGTGAAGAACCAGTGGCATCTACATGTACAGAACGTGAAGAACCAGTGGCATCTACATGTGCAGAACGTGAAGAACCAGTGGCATCTACATGTGCAGAACGTGAAGAACCAGTGGCATCTACATGTGCAGAACGTGAAGAACCAGTGGCATCTACATGTGCAGAAGGTGAAGAACCAGTCGCATCTACTTCTGCAGAACGTGAAGAACCAGTGGCATCTACATCTGCAGAACGTGAAGAACCAATCGCATCTACATCTGCAGAACGTGAAAAACCAGTGGCATCTGCAGAAATTGAAGAACCAGTGGCATCTACATTTGCAGAACGTGAAGAACCAGGCGCATCAACATCTGCAGAACGTGAAGAACCAGTGGCATCTACATCTGCAGAACGTGAAGAACCAGTGGCATCTACATGTGCAGAATGTGAAGAACCAGTGGCATCTACATGTGCAGAACGTGAAGAACCAGTGGCATCTACATGTGCAGAACGTGAATAACCAGTGGCATCTACATGTGCAGAACGTGAAGAACCAGTGGCATCTACATGTGCAGAACGTGAAGAACCAGTGGCATCTACATGTGCAGAACGTGAAGAACCAGTCGCATCTACTTCTGCAGAACGTGAAGAACCAGTGGCATCTACATCTGCAGAACGTGAAGAACCAGTGGCATCTACATCTGTAGAACGTGAATAACCAGTGGCATCTACATCTGCAGAACGTGAGGAACCAGTGGCATCTACATCTGCAGAACATGACGAACCAATCGCATCTACGTCTGCAGAAAGTGAAGAACCAGTGACATCTACATGTGCAGAACGTGAAGAACCAGTGGCATCTACATGTGCAGAACGTGAAGAACCAGTGGCATCTACATCTGCAGAAAGTGAAGAACCAGTGGCAACTACATCTGCAGAACGTGAAGCAGCAGTTGCATCAACAGCTGCAGAACGTGAAGAACCAGTGGCATCTACATCTGCAGAACGTGAAGAACCAGTGGCATCTACATGTGCAGAACGTGAAGAACCAGCGGCATCTACAGGAGATTATACAACTTTTAAAGCCATTCCCCATGTTTAGTGTACATACCGTACAACATGTTTGGAATCGACTTACGAACAGACCTCTGGAACCTCACTCGTTTTGTAAGCAGAGGAGTCCCTGCGATGACCGACCAATCAGGGCCCGGGAGGGGGGAAGTGGGCAGGGGGGGCTCGCCCACCTGGAAGACGGTGAGCAGCGCGATGGGGAACGAGTCGAAGGAGCTGCGGTGGAGTTGCGTCGAGTCGAAGTTGAACTTTCCCCCGAACAGCTGCATGCCGAGCAGCGAGAAGATGATGATGAAGAGGAAGAGGAGCAGCAGCAGCGAGGCGATGGAGCGCATCGAGTTGAGCAGCGACACCACGAGGTTGCTGAGGGCGTTCCAGTACCTGTGGCGGAGCAAGCGCCGATGATGACAATGAAGATCTGTCCAATCCTTGATCACCACGGATACATTGGCCGGCGTTATTAGGGGCTAGGGTCTGGTTGTCTAGTGTGGTTAGTGTCTGGTTGATGAGTGTGGTTAGGGCTTGGTTGGCTGGTATGGTTAGTGTCTGGTTGGCTGGTGTGGTTAGTGTCTGGTTGGCTGGTGTGGTTAGTGTCTGGTTGGCTGGTGTGGTTCGTGTCTGGTTGGCTGGTGTGGTTAGTGTCTGGTTGGCTGGTATGGTTAGTGTCTGGTTGGTTGGTGTGGTTAGTGTCTGGTTGGCTGGTGTGGTTAGTGTCTGGTTGGCTGGTGTGGTTAGTGTTTGGTTGGCTGGTGTGGTTAGTGTCTGGTTGGTTGGTATGGTTAGTGTCTGGTTGGTTGGTGTGGTTCGTGTCTGGTTGGCTGGTGTGGTTAGTGTCTGGTTGGCTGGTATGGTTAGTGTCTGATTGGTGAGTGTGGGTTAGGGTTATAGGTAGCAGTTGGATTTTCATGCACTCCCCTCTGCTGCCCACACTTCATGCTCTCCCGTAAACGGTGTTGCGAGCCGCGCTCCACATTAACAAACGCACCACAGCACACACACGGAGCTGGGGCGTGACATCAGTGGGCCGGTCAAAGAAACGGGTCGGTAACAATCGCACTGCACCTTGCAACTCCACCCACCGTCACCCCCATCCATCACACTCCCGTGCTCCCACTGGGCACCTGGTGACCTTGAAGATGCGCAGCAGACGCACGCAGCGCAGCACGGAGACGCCGAGTGGCGTGACGAGGCCCTGGCCGACGAGCACGGCCTCCGTGATGCCGCCGCACACCACGAAGCAGTCGAAGCGGTTGAAGAGCGACGTGAAGTAGACGTGCAGGCCCAGGCCGTACATCTTCACGAGCATCTCCAGCGAGAAGAGCGTGAGCAGCACCTTGTTCGCCAGGTCTGCGCGCGTGCGGAGACGCACGGACAGAGGGACAGACAGACGGGCGGACGGACGTATGTACGGACGCACGTACAGGTGGACAGACGGACAGACGGACGGACGTGCAGATTGACGTATGAACGGACGGACGTAGGTACAGACGGAGGGACGTTCAGATGGACTGATGTACGTACAGACATACGGACGGAAAGGCCTCATCGCCACGAGGGATGGATGGATTCTAAAAACAGCGTAGCTGCTGCTGCTGCTGTTGCACGTGGCTGCCTGCAGTGACTCAGCGCTGCGGAGGCAGCGGCGGCGAGGGTTGGTGGGTCACCGCGCGCACGACGACAAAGTGGGCGTCGAGGAGGCTGCAATGTGCTCGGCTTCGCCATCAGAATGCAGCGGGGCAAAGTGTGGAGTGGTAGAGTCTGTGCCTCGTGTGCGGTAAGCTAGAGCAGGCGGTCGTCAACCAACATGCGGTAGCTCGTTAAGGGCCGCTTTGTGGAAGTCGTCCACGCTGCATTGTGGCTCTTGGAATATTGCGGAGGGGGGGGGGGGTTACCGAATTCGAAAAAGCTGCCGATGATGCCAGTTTATGTAATTACCGGCGAAACGTGACAGTACTCAACTTGTAGAAGCTGTGGATTTACTCTGCAACACACGCGGTGGGCTGAAGCAGTCACTAATTGGCACGTTTTGTTTACGCGACAAATCCCTTACTATATTCTTAGCTCTTTCGGTAAAGTCACGTTGAAGGGAAACAATAAAATAATGAAATATATATAAAACAATTAAAATTCTCACGACGTTTTATATATTTTATTATTTTATTGTTTCCCTTCAACGTGACTTTACCGAAAGAGCTAAGAATATGAATTACTGCAGTCACGAAAGCTTTAAATCAAAATCCCTTACTGGCTGTGTCGGGTGGTGGAGGGTCACGACACATTTATACTTATGCGATCGAACCCAACAACCTTGATTTTTAATCTTCTTGTTATGTTAGTTGCCGGCCCCTGGGATAGAGCGTTGCCCCCCCCCCGCATGCGTGGGGGTTTTCTCCGGGTGCTCCGGTTTCCTCCCACGTGTACAATAAACACAACGCACCATTCATTGGCTGATGTTTACCAATCATCAGGCAAGTGCAGCACGTCACCACCTTCATTTGTATTCGCGCGGAGAAGAACGCACCTTTTTTTTCTCCCATTCACGCCTTCAATAGTGCTGTTTGTGGCTGGTCGCTTGGCAACCGTGGATAAAGGGAACACGTGGTGGGGTTGCGATGAGCGATGTCTAGGAAACCCGAACACACTGGACACCTGCTGTTAACCTTTGGAAACGCACTTATTTATCCAGCAGTCCTATGGCTATTTTGCCGGAGGGTCCTGCTACTGCTAATTTGGATTTAGTTTTAAGATGTTTTCACCCAATTAATGATGGGCTGTGTTTATAATTACAAGTCGGAGGAAACCGGAGCACTCAGAGAAAATTCCACGTGTGCGACGGGACAGCGCTCTATCCCCGTACAGATGTAAACAAATGGTGATCATCCATAATAGAGGTTTTTGGGTTAGATCGTGTGAATATAAATGTGTCGTTAAACCCGCCACCACCCGACACAGGCAATTAGTAAGGTTTGTCACGTAAATAAAACATGCCAGTTCGCTAATAGTACAGCACGCCAGTTGTGTTGGAGAGTAAACCCACTACTACATTTACAATTCGAGTCCCGTGACGTTTCGTCAGTAACTAAAACAACCAGCATCATCAGGCAGACAGCAGCAGTGTTGTGGCGAAATCCACCTGTTTCGGTCTTAAATCGAGGGATAGATGCGATGTCGCCACTCGTGAGCCAATCAGGTGCGAAGACCAGAGGGGTGGTAGGGGGGTGGGTTAATGTATTCACAAAAATGACAACGGATATCTAGATTTGAAGCTTTCGTGACTGCAGGAATCCATACTCTTTGGTTCTTTCGGTAAAGTCACGTGGGTATAAAATAAAATAAATCACGACGTTTCGGGCGCAACACAAGCGTCCGTCATCAGGTGCTTTCGCACCTGATGACGGATATCTGTTATCAATATACGTCGCGAAAGCCTGCGTGTTAAACAGACGGCGATTGGTCCACAGCGTGCTGTTACCGCCTTGTCCTGGCGAGTCACTCGACGGGAGCTTCACAACACAACGCCTGCGTGTGCGGTGATCCACAAATCCTCGCCGCTGCCCCCCACAGTGCTGGATCAAAGGCCACGTGCAGCAGCGTAGCCCCCGCCGCCACGACCTCCGGCCGTGCCGTTACACAAACGCGGCTGACTCCTGCGCCGCTCACCCTGCATGCGGGAGAGCCACGCGGCCTGCTGGTGATGCTCGGAGGCGATGGAGAGCGTGTTGATGAACACGAGGACGATGACGAGCCAGAAGAAGGACGGCGACCTCACCACCGCACGGCATCGGCGGCGGCCCAGCCGGTTACACCGGCGCCACCAGCGGCTGCGGGAGGGGGTCAGAGGTCGCGCCCGAGGGGGTCAGGGGTCGCGTGCGGGATCATAGGCCGCCGACCGCAATGGGGTCGACCGGGCGCATTGCGGTGGTAGATTAATTTTTATTTTTGAGCTCGCGATACACGGCGTCGGACCGTGCGTGTACGGATCGATATGTGACTTCTTGATTCGTAAATGCCGCGCGTAACAGGTTCACGTGGTCGCTGCAGCCACCTAGAGGTCCGCTACCTTCCACCGCCGTGTTGAAGTAAAAATCGATTGTTGAATCAAATCGCTCCGCGGGCTAGTGCCGACGCGGACCGCGGTGACGCTACCCCGGCGGTTGTGGGTAAATTCGCGATGAGATTTTTTTTAAATTTAAACTTTCAAATGAAATGAAATGGTTTTCACACCTCACCTGATTTGCGACTTCAAAATGACGTCCCTGCAAAGCAAACAAATCCGTCAGAGCGGGTTACTAAACACTGGACATTTAGATAACTCAATCGTCCATGCCACTACGTGTGAGCTCTCCCACCGAGAGAAACACTCGATGTTATTCCGGCTCGCCGATAGCTCGGAAGCAGCCACCGTTGATGCGGTGTGCCGGGTGCCCCCCATCGTACCCGAGGCGGACCCACAGGGGCGCCCTCTCTCCGGAGCTCCCGGCGGTGTCCGAATGGACCGAGGCTTCGCTCGAACACTTGCTTCCTACGCGCGGGGAGGGGGGGGGCGCGAGCAAGAAGCTCGCGGTTAACGGTGCGCACACACACACTCACACACTCGGCGGCACACACACAAAGACGCGGAGACGCGGCACCCTGGTGTGGTTAGGGCCTGGTTGGCTGGTGTGGTTAGCGTCTGGTTGGCGAGTGTGGGTTAGGGTTGTGGGTAGCAGTTGGATTTTCCTGGGCTCCCCTCTGCTGCCCGCACTTCAAGTTCTCCCGTAAGCGGTGCCGCGAAGAGATTCACGAGCAGCACCCGGGTGTCCCGCCTCGTCTCCCCCCCCCCTCTCCACCCCCCCGCCCCCTCTCTGCCACCCCCCCCCCTCTCCGGCCCGCCCCCCTCCCCCTCTCTGCTACCCCCCACCCCTTCTCCGCCACCCCCCCCCCCGCCCCCCCGTTGTGCCACTTACCGCTCGAGGCGCCGTCTCGCTCCATCTCGATGTCCTCCGCTTGCCGGATCCAGTCCAGGTAACCGCGCAGGTCGCCATCCAGTTTCTGCTTCTCGCGGAGTTTCTGGAAGTCGCCGCGTGCCTTCGCCTTCTCGCGCTCCTTGGAGAACTCGCTGAGCGTGCGGAAAGGACCCATCAGCATCAAAGACGAAGGTCCCCCGTGTAGCATTAGCGAGTATTAGCTGTTAGCGAGTAGCACCTCTGAAGGCTGGAAAGGGGGTGGGTGGCCAACACCACGCCCGGCCGCCTTTGTCTCCCTCGTGGCGATGATTTTACACACCGCACCGGGTACTCATTTCAGGCTGAGTCGACCTAAGGGAGGCCCAGGACCGGTTCAGATAACCGTCACCGGTGTTGGCGTTGAGAGGGAATCGAACTCGGGTCGTCGGGCTCGTAGCGCAGCGTAGCGCTAACCGCTGCACCACCTGCATCACCGCCATCAGCACCCCCACCAACGAGGGTCAAAGGTCAAATCCATGCTGCCACCATCGCGTTACTCGGGTCAAAGTCAAGAGGTCACTGTGGCCGATGGCGCCGCCAATTGGTGGCCGCCACGCGTCGCCAACGCGTCCTTTCTCTTTGCCAGACTGCGTGCGTGGTGGTGCAGCTGTGGCAAAGTCGACGTCCATCCTCCAGGCTCCGTTCGCAAAAGAAGAGAAAAAGTCACAAACTCAACCCGATCGCTCGCCACCAACCCCGTTTAACGCGATTACCCGACCCCACCTTCACCCCCCCTCCACCCGCTCCCACCTCCACCCCCCATCCACCCCCACTCTCCAACCGCCTCCACCCTCCCTTCCCCCTCCACCCGCCCCGCTCCTCCTCCAACCGCGGCCCCCCATGTCCACAAGCTCGCCTCCTCCACCCGCCCCCCCACCTCCATCCCCCCTCCACCCCCTCGCTCCCCACCTCCAACCACCCCCCCCCTCCACCCCCCCTCCACCCTCCACCCGCCTCGCCCACGCCATCCACCCGCCCCCCCTCCACCCCCCCTCCACCCCCAACCCGCGTCCCACTCCCTCCACCCGCCTCCCACCTCCAACCGCCCCCCTCTACCCCCCCTCCACCCTCCACCCGCCCCCCCCTCCACCCGCCCCCCCTCTACCCCCCTCCACCCGCCCCCCACCTCCACCCCCTCCCCCAGGGCACTGAGGGAGGGGGATGGTGAGGAGTGGAGGGGGAGGTGAAGGGACGAGGCAGGGAATGGGCAGTGGAGAAGAGGTGAGGCTTTGAGAGAGGAACGTCAAGGAGGGCGAATGCTTGATGGGATATGAAGAAGGGCCATCGCCCGAAACATCGTCTGTTGTGTATATTATTTTATTTTATGGCCACCCACGCAGGGAGTTATTGCCGAGAGTGCAGAACAATATTTGTAGATTTTTTTTTCTTCAAAGAAAGCTCGATTCTAAATCCCTTGAGCAACTTTCAAGAGACCCGGCTGAGCATTGTCTGCCACAGGCAGCGATGAGATCGACTACGTGGGGGTGGGAGGGAGTTCGGGGTGGGGGCGGGGGAGTAGGATGTGTGGAATGGGTGGAGTCACTCACCCGCTCAGCACCCCCAGCACCAGATTCAGTACGAAGAACGACCCCACGATGATGAGGTTCACGAAGTAAATCCACGGCCAATCGTTGCCCACCGCGTCGTTCACCTGCCGGGCACACGCACATTCACCTGCCTGGCACACGCACATTCACCTGTCTGGTACACGCACATTCACCCGCCTGGCACACGCACATTCACCCGCCTGGCACACGCACATTCACCTGCCGGGCACACGCACATTCACCTGCCTGGCACACGCACATTCACCTGCCGGGCACACGCACATTCACCTGCCGGGCACACGCACATTCACCTGCCGGGCACACGCACATTCACCTGCCTGGCACACGCACATTCACCTGCCTGGCACACGCACATTCACCTGCCGGGCACACGCACATTCACCTGCCGGGCACACGCACATTCACCTGCCTGGCACACGCACATTCACCTGCCTGGCACACGCACATTCACCTGCCTGGCACACGCACATTCACCTGCCTGGCACACGCACATTCACCTGCCGGGCACACGCACATTCACCTGCCTGGCACACGCACATTCACCTGCCTGGTACACGCACATTCACATGCCGGGCACACGCACATTCACCCGCCGGGCACACGCACATTCACCTGCCTGGCACACGCAGAATCCCCGGGCGAGTGGCCAGTGGAAAGTGAGCGTGGCGGTTCGCCAACCTCCCTCCTGCCCCCTGGGCAAACTGACACCAACCCCCGTCTCGAGGGGATGAGCGGGCCGGGCAGCGTTGCGGTTGGGCCACGCTCGTAACCCGGCACCGTGGAGGGGGTCGGCGGATCGCCGCGCGAATGTGGCGTGCGCGCAACGTCGCTTCGATAATGCGTTGGCACTGTCCTTGGAACCGCGTCTGGTGGAGGCCGATGAGTTTGAAGGAGAGCGCCGAAGCACGCTTGTTCGCATGTTTTTCCACTTGTGACACAAGCGGCCGTACAGTCGCGGTTAGCGCTGCGCTGCGCTGCGAACCCGGCGGCCCGAGTTTCGATTCCCGCTCACGGCCGACACCGGTGCCTGAACCGCTCATGGTCCTCCATTAGGTCGACTCAGCCTCAAATGAGAACGTGGTGTGGTGTTTAAACGTCGCCACTGGGAAGACAAAGGCTTTGGCGTTGAACACCCAACCCCTTCGTGTGCCGTGCTGGCCTTCATAGGTGCTCGCTAACGGCACTTGCCCCAACAGTCTGTTACAGGCTACACGGGGGATTCCTTTTCCGTAATGAAGGTTTTTGGGTTAGATCGCGTGTCGAAACCCTCCACCGTCGAAACGTCGGACTACTCAAATAGTAAATGTTTGTGGCTTTACTCTCCAACACACCGGTGGGCTAAAGTAGTCACTAATTGGCGCGTTTTGTTGACGTGACAAATCTCTTACCGATTGGCTGTGTCGGGTGGTGGAGGGTTTCGACACAACATTGACACTTACGCGATCTAGCCCAAAAACCTTGATTGTTAATAATATTGTTCGCGAAAGCCTCCTCCGTGTTAAACTGACGGGGGCGGATTGCAACCAGGGATGGGGGGCAGCGGCGGTGGGGGGCGGGGGGGGAGGGTCACAAAGGGGTGGGGGCCGAGGGGGGGACCATGGGGGGCGGGGGGGGGCTCACCCAGTAGAGCACGTCGGTCCAGCCCTCGAGCGTGATGCACTGGAACACGGTGAGCATGGCGAAGCCAAAGCTGTCGAAGTTGGTGACCCCGTCGTTGGGGCCCGCCCAGTCCGACCGGCACTCGGTGCCGTTCCGCGCGCACTGCCGTCCGCTGCCGGCGAACGCGCAGGGCGCCACGACCTCCTCGTCGTCGGCCAGCATCCCTGGCGGACCGGGGGGCGAGACGCGAGCGGGGTTGGGGCGGCAGGGGGAGGGGGCGAGGTGGTCGCGAACGCTCCCTCCGCGCGAAGCTGCGTGCACGCAGCCCGACGTTTGCTGAACTTATTTCGCGCCCGTACGCAGCCGACCGTGCTCATCGGATGGTGCGGATGATGATGATGAGGACGAGGACGACAGCAGCACGGCGTGTCAGTGTGTGTCGGAGGTGGCGGGCACCTGTGCCCGTGTAGTAGCACGTCTTGTGCATCTTGCCCATGAAGAGCTCCAGGCCGATGATGGCGTAGATGATGATGAAGAAGAGCACGAGGAGGCCGATGTGCAGCAGCGGCACCATGGCCTTGATGATGGAGTTGAGCACCACCTGGAGGCCTGCAGGCAGTGCCGGATTAAGCTAAGTGCGGGGCCTGTAGCGTATGTTATAAAGGGGCCCTAAATAAAAAAAAACACGTAAATATTAAACACACAATTGTATAGCTTGCATAGTCAAGTAATTGTATTTTTAATTTGCTATACAGCCAAATAATGCGACAAATCGCTAACCTTATGGCTGGTATTTGGGAATATAGCTGAAGATAAAATGATGGTTGGCGATAATGTTATTATTATGGTTGGAATTGAGTTTAGCGTCCGTGTTTGAATTAAAGTTTGGTGCTGGTGTTAAGGATTAAAAGTTAGGGTTTCGGAGAAGGCTAGGGTTTGGATTCGATCAGGGATTCGGGTTTATAAAATAAAACCCAGACTCAGAGCGCCTCCTGGAATCTGCACACACGCTGCAGCCCGGGATTGGCCCACTGGGTCTGGGCTCGGCTCACTGGATCCGGGATCGGCTCACTGGGTCTGGGCTCGGCTCACGTGGCCCGGGATCGGGTCACGTGGCCCGGGATCGGGTCACTGGATCCGGGATCGGCTCACGTGGTCCGGGATCGGCTCACGTGGCCCGGGATCGGCTCACGTGGCCCGGGATCGGCTCACGTGGCCCGGGATCGGCCCACTGGGTCTGGGATCGGCTCACGTGGCCTGGGATCGGCTCACGTGGCCCGGGATCGGTTCACTGGATCCGGGATCGGCTCACTGGGCACGCCGGACACGAGACGCAGGGGGCGCAGCACACGGAACGCTCGCAGCGCCTTCACATCGAAGCCGCCGCTCTTCCCGGCGTGCGAGCCCGGCACCACCCCGGCACGCGACACCTGCTCCAGCACGGCGCTGAACAGCCTGGGGGGGGGGGGCACACGTGGAGGGCAGGCGGGGGGTGGGCGAAGGAGGAACTCGGGGGGGGAAGGAAGGGGCGCGCGGGGGGGGGAGAGGCACGCGGGGGTGGGGGGGGGGAAGGGGCACGCGGGGGTGGGGGGGAAGGGGCACGCGGGGGTGGGGGGGAAGGGGCACGCGGGGGGGAAGAGGCACGCGGGGGTGGGGGGGAAGGGACACGCGTGGGGGAAGGGGCACGCGGGGGTGGGGGAGGGAAGGGGTGGGGGGCACGCGGGGGTGGGGGGGGGGCACAGAGAGAGCGGGCATTGGCGTGGTAATGTGGGCTCACACTTGTTAACTGAATCCCTGCGACGTGAAGATCGGGCCGCTAAACCCTCCCGTAAGTGAGGTCATGGGGCTAATGGCCCGTTACACTGGTGGTGGTGATTGAGTGCCACCGTGTTGGGAAGTTAACAGAGGTGGTCCTATGGAAAGACTCGCACCTGTCATAGGCACGAGGAATTCCCTCCACTGGCTCAGGGCTCATTCGAGCAACGAAGTCACGTCGACTTGACTCCCTATTCTGTAGGCGCACCTTGAAGACGTTCGGTGAACTGACGGGCGATCAGGGTGAAGGTGGGTTCAGGTGGGGGGCACTTAACGCACGCGACGTAACGTGAGCCACCTAAGCCTCACTTTACGTGAGATTTAAGTGGCTTCAAGACACCTTGTTTGGCGTCGGAGGGCATCGGCGATTTGATAATCGAAGTTAAAACGGCCTAAGACACACCGACGTCCTTAATGGTCGCTGGGGACGTATGCTGGCGATGTCATTTCGTTGACGTAGCGTGTGGCGTGTGGCGTAGTGTATCAACAAGGCTCAATTATTGCAACTCACTGCTCTACGGGACGTCTGGCAAAAACATCGCCACCAAGCTGCAGCGTGTGCAACATTCTCGGGCGCGCGTCGTGACGGGTTAGCGCAAGATCCCACCGTGTCCGTCCGGTGCTCGCAGAGCGGCATTGGCTTCCGGTTGCCGAACGAATTCGTTATAAGGTCGCGCTCATCACGCACACGAAGTGCTTGCCACGAATGAAACCACAATCACCTCGCCGATCTCGTTAAGGAGCTATAAACCATCACGTGAACTCCGCTCATCCTCGCAGCAGCAGCTTTTGGCTAATCCATCGAACAAAGACGGTCACCGCATCACGCGCTTTCAGATGCGCTTCTGCTGCCGTCTGGAACGCTCTTCCTCCCGATAGTAGGAAGCCACTGGAGTTATGCACCATGAAATGGTCAAGAGTGACAAACTAATTTCTTCAAAATTGTTTGTTATCGTGTTCAGTTTGTTGTCCTTCCCCCTGCACCTCCGACGAGTGTGGTTGGCTACGCACGGTACGAAAGACGTTCGACACAGAGCAGATCATCAAGTATCCGGCGGCTTCGGATGGAAGGGGCGCTGGATTTTCGAAAACGCCGGATAATCACTAACCAATCATCATTATTTGAAATAGCTAATTTTTGCACGTTCTCGAATTACGTTACGTTTTTACGTGTTGTGAATGTGTTCTTTAGTGTTTTAAATTGTTTCATTTATGAAATTGGCATAAACAAACATTCAAATAGACAAAAATAAAGTTACTCTATTTACTGTACTGCAGTTACCATTCCAATCTCGACGACTCTACATGGGGTGATGTACGTGGCACCACTACGCTCTCGTTTCAACAACCATGTGTTTGACGATCGCCGTACCGACGCAAGCTCACCCGACAAGCACAATGACAAAGTCCAGGAGGTTCCAGCAGTTTCGCAGATACGCTTTCGGGTGAAACACCAGGCCATCGGCCACCACCTTCAACACGGCCTCCACCGTGAAGATGATCAGGAAGACAAACTCCAACTTCTCCTGCGCACGCGCAGCACGGAATATGAAGAGACGGATAATCGACGGAGCGAGATTGGAAGTCGGCGGCAGATGGCATCGTCTCCGTTCCATCTGCATGACATCTGCCCCGCCAACCATTGCCTTGTCCCAGCTGTCGGCGAGACCTCGATGCGTGCACTCCACCATTTTCAACTCAGCCGCTGCAACGATCTCTCCCACCAATTCTTATATTGTGATACTGGCAAGAAAGGTAGCTGCTCACCCCGAGCTATGAATGTCCTGATAGTGGCATTGCCTTTGTGCTGTTCGCCTTTTGGCGTCCTCTGGTTCGATACTGTTTGAGACTAGGCTCTAAAGAAAGCTGTCTCTGATGTGGACCAATCAGTTTCAAAGACAATGCATCATCATATACTACCAGAGCATGATTTTTGTTTGCATGTTCACCACAAGGACGTGTGGATAATGCAGACATGAGTCCTTACAAAAGGTTTCTGTTCGGTGTTTTAACATCTTAACACAACTGTGTTATTCTAGACTTGAAGCTTTCGTGACTGCAAGGATTCATGCTCTTTGGTTTTTTTCGGTAAAGTCACGTGGGTAAAATAAAAATAAAATAAATGAAAACAACTAAATTAAATCACGACGTTTCGGAGGCAACACAAGCTTCCGTCTTCAGGTGGAACAGTCACAGCAAAATCAAGGTGACTGTTCCACCTGAAGACCAAAGAGCAACTGCTTTATTGTCAGAGAGGGTAAAACCAATTCTTATATTTTGATACTGGCAAGAAAGGTCCCGTGATCTCACTACCAATGTCGCCCGACTCCACGGTTGCACCTCGTTCCTCAACGTCCTCTCCAAATGCCTCACCGCACGCTCATCGCCCGCATCCACAACGAGATTACTGTAACCCCCCAACACGGCAATACCTGGACTGCCTATCTCTCTCTCTCGCTCCACTCCGGGTGTCGACCGCGAGACACAAAACCACGAAGGGAGGCCAAACATATTACGGGCACTGTGAACTTGACATCGTTTTTACCCGATTTGCGCAGACACGGTCACAAGACAAACTGGGTCAACTAAGTGGCGGCGACGTCACCATCGGGATGGTGCCAGGCCAGGTGTACTTTGAGGCCACGTGCAGTGTCGAAGGCTCGGCTGGGCCAGGAGGTCACGGGACAAGACTCCAGGCGTCATTGGCTGGCTGACTGAGATGATACAGTAACTCAATTGTGTGCATTTGTACCTTCAAATCTTGATTATTAAAACTGTCACTGTGAGGCTGTCTTCCTCTAATCCCAACACACGGTGCAACTAAAATAGCATACGTAGTTAGGGGCTGTCCATAAATGACGTCACTCGATTTTGGACGATTTTTGACCCCCCCCCTCGTCACACGGCGTCACAAAAAGTCAGACCCCCCCCCCTCAAATATGACGTCACAAAGCTCTGGACCCCCCCCCAAAACCATATTTCCATTTTGAAAATAAAACACGCTTCAAATCGCTTTAAACTATTGTCATTGCAGTACGTGTTTAATGTGGCGCTGCACTCTGATGTTGTGGGAGTGTTGTTATAGCAATAAGTGTTGTTATAATAATTCTATATTTATTCAAAGTTGCGCATTTTGATGTGACGTCACATTTCTCACCCCTCACCCCCCGTCACAAATGTCTGACCCCCCCCCCCCCCCCACGTGCGTGACGTCATTTATGGACGGCCCCTCATAGCTCTGCATACAACTGTATACGGGTTACAAAACGTGCGAAGCCATTTCAATAAAAGTGAGTCGGGAGTAAGTAGTGGTTGGGTGGGTGGGGGTGGGCGCCTCAGTCCGATCTTCCACAGCCCCCGAGCCCCACACGCCCCCTTCGTCCGACTGTGCACGCAGCGTCGCAGGGTGGCAACATCCGAGATCAGACGACAACGCCACCTGCAGCACCCCCACCACCACCACCACCGCTACCGGAGCCACCACCACTCCTCGGACCACAGCCACCACCGGCCGAGCGTCCTCGCTGGCCCGCTGCGCGAGCCGAGTTCCCTCCGCCGTTTGCCGCCCGGTGCGGCAGCCTTGGCGCGCGGCTGCTCACCAGGCTCAGGTTTGTCGAGCTCGTGTCATCGTCCGGGAAGGGCACGTACACGGCGAGCGCCACGCAGTTGCTGAAGATGGTGAGCAGAATGAGAACGTCGAACGGCCTGCGAGACGATAGAGAGAGGTGGGAGCGGTGGGCAGCGGGGTGCAAAGTGGGGGGGGGGGGGGGGGTTCCGCAGTCGCCCCAGCCCCCGCTCTAATCGACCGACACGAGGGGGTCACCCGCGACTTCGCCCACGCCTCCCGTCACACATCGCGACTCGGCTGTCCGCAAACATTTGTTGGCAGCCGAACTTCGTCGAGGTGGCCTGTAACGTCCTTGCCCGAGTCGGGCAAGGAAGATGTACGGCGCAGATCAAAGGGGCGGGAGGGCTCCTTTTGGAGGAGAGATTTGCCAAAGAACGAAGGGGCAAGCAAAATGCGTTTGGTTGGGGGGTGCCGATTGAGCTATAAATTGGAGGCCAACAGATTACCACGAGTGGCCTCGTGGTGCCATGCGGGAGGAGAGACAAAGTCGAGGCTACCAACGCGAGAAGTGGATTTACGGCATTAACTATTACTTTTATTTTACCAGGTAAGGCCCCACTGAGCTACGTAGCTCTTTTTTAGAAGCGACCCGGCTACAAATAATAACTCAACGAAGTGGCTTACCATCAGGCAGACATTTTATAGCAGCCAAATACTCTAAAGTAACTTGCGTCGATTCTAAATGTGGAGGGACAAATCAGAGGAACCGGGCAAAAATCCACTGCGACCACGGGGAAAGAGACATGCACACTCCAAATATACAAGCAAAGGGTCGGGATAAAACCCACCACCTCCTGCATACCAGGCGAGGTAGTTAACATCTCGCCTTAGGAGACAGACACGTGAGGCTACACAGAGGTTTCCCAAAGTACCGGGAGCTGGTGGCGCACGGCCGACTGCCACGTGGGCCTCCGTAATTCAGTATCAACAAAATAAACTGGCTTGGAGTTTGGAGGGGCGGCCCTGCTGTGTGTGGCTCGGGGCAAATTTCCCCATTTGCCTTCGAAGCCCTCCGGATGACCCTGTCTAGAGGAAGCCCTCCGGATGATCCTGTCTAGAGGAAGCCCTCCGTATGACCCTGTCTAGAAGAAGCCCTCCGGATGACCCTGTCTTGAAGCACCCCCCCGGATGACCCTGTCTAGAAGAAACCCTCTGGATGACCCTGTCTAGAGGAAGCCCTCCGGATGACCCTGTCTTCAAGAAGCCCTCCGGATGACCCTATCTAGAAGAAGCCCTCCGGATGATCCTGTCTAGAGGAAGCCCTCCGGATGACCCTGTCTAGAAGAAGCCCTCCGGATGACCCTGTCTTGAAGCACCCCCCCGGATGACCCTGTCTAGAAGAAGCCCTCTGGATGACCCTGTCTAGAGGAAGCCCTCCGGATGACCCTGTCTTCAAGAAGCCCTCCGGATGACCCTATCTAGAAGAAGCCCTCTGGATGACCCTGTCTAGAGGAAGCCCTCCGGATGACCCTGTCTAGAAGAAGCCCTCCGGATGACCCTGTCTAGAGGAAGCCCTCCGGATGACCCTGTCTTGAAGAAGCCCTCCGGATGACGCTGTCTTGAAGAAGCCCTCCGGATGACCCTGTCTAGAGGAAGCCCTCCAGATGACCCTGTCTAGAGGAAGCCCTCCGGATGACCCTGTCTAGAGGAAGCTCTCCGGATGACCCTGTCTTGAAGAAGCCCTCCGGATGACCCTGTCTTGAAGAAGCCCTCCGGATGACCCTGTCTAGAGGAAGCCCTCCGGATGACCCTGTCTAGAGGAAGCCCTCCGGATGACCCTGTCTAGAAGAAGCCCTCCGGATGACCCTGTCTTGAAGAAGCCCTCCGGATGACCCTGTCTTGAAGAAGCCCTCCGGATGACCCTGTCTAGAGGAAGCCCTCCGGATGACCCTGTCTAGAGGAAGCCCTCCGGATGACCCTGTCTAGAAGAAGCCCTCCGGATGACCCTGTCTACAAGAAGCGATCGCCATGAACGGAGCCAGAGTGGACTATTTCAGCCAGCCTCCCATCTAATCAGCCACAGGGTGACGACTGACGCAACACAGATAAGACACATATATTTAGTGATGGTGGCTACGCTGCACGCGAACTGTAATCCAGCACTGTGGACGCAGTGAGAGTTGGTAGATCACACGAACGTTGCTGTGAAACAACTCTCTTCCCGTGGGTGAGGCGGGGATAGAGCGTTGCCCTCTCACCCGCGCGTGGGTTTTCTCAGGGTACTCCGGTTTCCTTCCCCGAATGCATAAGCAACTCATAATTTGGCTGAAAACATGAAAAAACAACCAGGTGTAGCAGGGCTGTGGGGTACAACGGAGTAATTGCATTCCACACGATAAGCCACTTCGTTGAGCTATCACTTGTGGTCACGTCGCTTCTAAAAAAAATATGCTAATAGCTCAGTGGGGCTTTACCCGGTAAAGTACAAAATAGACATAAATATATACTTGCGATTTGTTTACCTTTTCGTGTACTTTGCAACTCCTATCGTGTCATCGAATTCGATTTGCTGCTGTAACTTTCTGACCCCTGATTTGAAAAAAGAAAGAGCTTCACAGCTCATCGGATCCCTCCAGCGTAAGCAAAAGGTTCTGATCGTCATTCCAGCGCAGCATTATGGTTCCGTGACAGCGGCGGGCAGACGCGACGGCGCGAGAGGAGCCCTATTCCGTGTATTACCGCCACTCCACGATGCTGATGCACGCCCTGCGCACGGGGTTTTGCAGGGAGAGGCAGAAGAGCGATCGAGCAGCCCGCGTGCTCCCGGCCACGCCGCCGTCGCCGGCAGGACCGGCGGCCTTGCGCGCCCGCCCGCGGCGCTCCTCCTCTTCGCGGGCGATGCGGATGGCGGCTTGCCACGTGAGCGGCGTGTCCTTCGATGTGCCACCCTGCGATGCTGCGTTCCAGTCGGACGAGGGGTTCGTGCAAGGGACTCAGGGGCGCGTCGACCTGCAAGGGACTCGTCTACTTACGAACGAGTTCGGTTCCAGAGGTTGCTGTCCGTAAGTCGATTTGTTCGTAAGTCCAACTTTACTCCTTTGCCGATTCCAAACACGTTGTACGGCGTGTACACTAAAAACACGGGCAATTGCTTTAACAGTTGTATACTCTCTCCCCGTAGATGTAGATGCCACTGCTTCTTCGAATTCTGCAGATGTAGATGCCACCACCGGCACGAACAGGCAACTGGACCATGCGGGACGAGGTTTGTTCGTAACTCTGAAAGTTCGTAAGTCGAATGTTCGTAAGTAGAGGAGTCCTTGTATTTCAAACAGGGCTATGCAAGATACGACTGCGGTCCCACCTCCCCCGACTCACTTTTACTGAAATCGCCGCGCATATTTTGTAACCCAGACACAACAATATGTAGGGCTATGTCTAGATATATTGTTTTAGTTGCACCGTCTATTGGGATTAGAGGAAGACAGTCTCACAATGACAGTTATTAATAAAGATTCGAAAGTACAATACCCACAAACACCAGCAGTAGCGGATACTATACTTTACGCTCGGTATTTTTTTTAGGAAAAATTATTTTCTTCATTTGTAACAATGGTTTATTTTTTTGGCATTTGTGAATTGTTGGAATTTAAAAAAAAATAACATTTCTTAACATTTTATTAACTTCTTAATCTTTTCATTCGGGCCCCTATGCGTCACATGCGGCTGCCACGTACCCACCAACCATCGTTTCGCACCTGGCAGGGCTGAATATCGGTATCTATACCCCCACCCCCTACGCCCCGACCCCCCACAAGACTGATGGAGCTAACTCCACCGGTCCAGCCAACAAATCTGATCGAGCAAAAACTTTATGGCACCGGAAATTGAGGTTTTTTTTAATGTAATGTTGATATGTTTATTTGTGCAGGTATTTTTTAAAACATACTTCTTTAACGTGGTTGTCCTGCTCCAATTTAGTTTTATTTGTTTTACTTTTTGTTACTTTGGTGGCCCAAGTGACACTCTTGACGATGTACTTTGTTGAACTTCTTTCGCACCGTACGTAGCCAACCGTGCTGATCAGAGCTGCGTGGGACGGGACACCAAAACTAAACACAATGAGACGAACCTGGTCTCTTTGAGTTATCATACATATTGGTTACACCAAATAAAAACGAAAAAAACGGTGATGGCTTTTGAAATGAATCTTATGTACCAGAGATAATTGTACATGGCCACAGTTGTGAGCCATGCCACTGGGCATGATCACAGTGGTGAGCCATGCCACTGGGCATGATCACAGTGGTGAGCCATGCCACTGGGCATGATCACAGTGGTGAGCCATGCCACTGGGCATGATCACAGTGGTGAGCCATGCCACTGGACATGATCACAGTGGTGAGCCATGCCACTGGGCATGATCACAGTGGTGAGCCATGCCACTGGGCATGATCACAGTTGTGAGCCATGCCACTGGGCATGATCACAGTGGTGAGCCATGCTACTGGGCATGATCACAGTGGTGAGCCACGCCACTGGGCATGATCACAGTGGTGAGCCATGCCACTGGGCATGATCACAGTGGTGAGCCATGCTACTGGGCATGATCACAGTGATGAGCCATGCCACTGGGCATGATCACAGTGGTGAGCCATGCCACTGGGCATGGCCGCGTTGATGAGCCATGCTACTGGGCATGATCACAGTGGTGAGCCATGCCACTGGGCATGATGACAGTGGTGAGCCATGCCACTGGGCATGATCACAGTGGTGAGCCATGCCACTGGGCATGATCACAGTGGTGAGCCATGCCACTTGGCATGATCACAGTGGTGAGTCATGCTACTGGACATGATCACAGTGGTGAGCCATGCTACTGGGCATGATCACAGTGGTGAGCCATGCTACTGGACATGATCACAGTGGTGAGCCATGCTACTGGACATGATCACAGTGGTGAGTCATGCCACTGGGCATGATCACAGTGGTGAGCCATGCTACTGGGCATGATCACAGTGGTGAGCCATGCCACTGGGCATGATCACAGTGGTGAGCCATGCCACTGGGTATGATCACAGTGGTGACCCACGCTACTGGGCATGATCACAGTGGTGAGCCATGCTACTGGGCATGATCACAGTGGTGAGCCATGCTACTGGGCATGATCACAGTGGTGAGCCATGCTACTGGGCCTGATCACAGTGGTGAGCCATGCCACTGGGCATGATCACAGTGGTGAGCCACGCCACTGGGTATGATCACAGTGGTGAGCCACGCTACTGGGCATGATCACAGTGGTGAGCCATGCTACTGGGCATGATCACAGTGGTGAGCCATGCCACTGGGCATGATCACAGTGGTGAGCCATGCCACTGGGCATGATCACAGTGGTGAGCCATGCCACTGGGCATGATCACAGTGGTGAGCCATGCTACTAGGCATGATCACAGTGGTGAGCCATGCCACTGGGCATGATCACAGTGGTGAGCCATGCCGGTGCGGAGCCTCGATGCACGTGGACGTGTCATGACTGCGGGAAGGGGCGGGGTTTGTGTTGAGGGGTGGGGTTCGGGAACAGGGGGTGTGGTTTGAGTGGAGAGGGCGTGGTTTGGGGGAGGGGGCGGGGTTTGTGTGTGGGGTAGGGGTTAAGAGGCGGGGCCCCGGGGTGGCAGGGGCGTGGCTTGAGTCAACGTGGACTTGGCAGTTCGCTTCGTGGCGGCCACACGAACAGCTGAGACCCCTCCATCTGCCCCGGTGAGACTCGCCTCGATCCCCACGTCTCCCCATTACCTGTCTACCCCCTGCCTTGTCCTTCAGTTCTTCCTGCTGTGTGTCCGTGTCTCCCCGTATCCCTCTGTCTTTTAAGTTATCCCCGCAGTGTCTCCCCCGTACATCTCCCTGCCTCGTCTTACAGCTTCCGTGTCTTCACGTGCTCACCCTCCCGACCTGCCTTGTGTAACGCCTCTAAAACCCCTGTCTCCCTTGTCTCCTCATCTCCTTGTCTCTACCTTGCTGTGTCTCCCTCTGTATTACCTTGCTGTGTCTCCCTCTGTCTTACCTTCCGTGTCTTCCCCCAATGTCGTGTCTCTGTCGGTGTCTCTCTCTCTCTCTTGCAGTGCCCCGTGTCCCATCGTCTGCCCGAACTCCCCTTTCTTCCTCCGCCTTGTCTCCCGTGCAAGGCTTCATTACGGCCGGGCCTGTAATTACTCCTCTACTAAGCAGCGCAGCTCTTCATTTATTTATTTTTTCGACACGACCTGGCTACCACAAACTATGGCTCGACGAGGTGGCTTCTTAATGATCATCGCGTGGACATTTCTGGCAATGGAAATGGCACCCCCGGCAATACCGCACCCACCGCTCACAGCTCCGTCTGTGACTATTAGTTCAGGAGCCGCCTGCTTGCCTACTGAATTGTCTCCAGTGCCGGGTTACCCCCGTAGCAAAAGTGTAGCTACGGATGTGGAGCTACGGGACCCGCGACTTTCGAGGGCCCCGCGCTAAATGCTTTCAAGCTATCAATTCAGGTTCGGTGGCCTGTAAAATATGTTATAAAGGGGCCCTTAAATAAAATAAAAACGTTAATATTAAAACACATTTTTCATTTGCATAGTAAACTAATTGTATTTTTTTTTCATTTGCTTTCCAGCCAGATAACATGACAAATGGCTAACCTTAAACACCCGGTCGTTCATAAAAGTTGAAGGCGGTATAGTAATAGAGTAAGTGCAGAATCACTGAACCGGAATTGATAGCTTGAAAGCATTTAGCTACAGGCCCTTTAAAGTGCGGGGCCCGTAGCATGTGTAGCAGCTACTACATTTGTAGTAGCTGCTACACATGTTGCTACTACACATGTAGCTACTTTTGCTAGGAGGATAATCTGGCACTGATCTTGACCCAACAGACTTCTAAATCTCTCCAAGGAAAGAGCGACCAACCCCCTTGTTCTCAACGGGGTTGCGAATGACCACACAACGGCGTGTGTCGTCTTCCTCCCCTTGGTAAACATCACCCCACTTCTGCTGGACGAAGTCCTCCTCTCAAGTGGGAAGAGTTTCACCGCACTTCCACCGTTGACAATTTGCGGCCGGTTTCGGACGCCGCCGCTCGCCACTGATGTGGGGCCCTGGATCATTGGGGATCGATCCCGGGTAACCCCGGGGGAGGGTTGGTGGGTCGTGCGTCGGGCAACAACGTGAGCCACCCTTGTTGTGCCCACGGTTCCGCCGGATCCTTTAGAATGACTCCCGTAAACGATCCGCGCGATTTTATGAATTGGCACGATTCGGGGTGGGGGGGGGGTCACAATTCAAGAATCCCATTGTCTCTCTTTTCCATTGTCTTCTTTTCTGGGGGTTTGTTCCCCAAAATTTCCTTTGGCCTAAATGTGACGTTAGCATATTAAATGTCGTCCAACTTTAATACATCGCGTGGTTACATTCTTCCATACGACGATTTCACGCAAGTGACCCCCGAGTTTTGGAATTCATATTTTAATCGCTGTAAGAATCGCGCACCTCCGATTTTTTTTTCCCCACCTACGATTAGCACAGTTGGCTACGCACGGTGCGAAAGAAGTTCAACGTACAGTACATGAAATAATCGGCATCTCCCTTCCACTTTTACCCGATACAGACACGATTACATTGTGTCGGTGATTCATCCTGTATCTCACACAGCAGCTGCTTCACCAGAGACTCCAGAAAGTGGCGTAGCTATCAAGTATGCAGGCGGTGCAACTGCCCATGAGAATCCCCAGCCAGAGTTGGTCCGGGTGCCAGGCTACACACTTTTTTTAATATTAACAGGTAAGGCCCAAGTGAGCTATACAGCTCTTTTTTTTTTCAGAAGCGACCTGGTCGCATGTGATAGCCCAACGAAGTGGCGTATCACCTATGTGGAAATTTATAGCAGCCAAATACTCTAAACGCGCGATGTTGATTCTACATGTGAAGGGGAAAAAAACGATGGACCTGGAGAAAAATC